ATCTTACTGAATTTTTCCCAGAGGTGTTTATTGCTCTTATAACTGTGTAACCAATTGTTTTGACGTAAAGGTGGTTTTATTTATGTTCTAAAATTCCTTGTGTGTCCAATCACACTTGGCCAATAAAGAATTCTATTCTATTCTACTCTCTTCTCTTCTACCTTCTCTTCCCTCCTCTCCTTTCTCTTTTCTCTTCTCTTCTACTCAACTGTTCTCTGTTCTGCACTCTACTCTACTCTTCTCTACTCTACTTTCTTTTCTTCTACTCTCTTCTCTTCTACCTTCTCTTCTCTCATCTCCTCTCCTTTCTCTTCTCTCTTCTCCTTACTCTCTACTCTACTCTACTCTACTCTACTCTACTCTACTCTACTCTACTCTACTCTACTCTACTCTATTCTAAATATAATCATTGTAGCAGTAGGCAAGGAGGAAATTAATCCAGTTGGTCGTCTGCCTATTTAAATAATATATATTTTCTACTGTTAGAAATAGGCTTTATTTCTGGAACCTGAGAGTAATTGTTAGGGTTGTGGATTACAAGAAGCCATTTAGGATCAGAAGTTTGAGGTTGATTTTGAGGCTGATTTGATACTATTATAAATTGATTTTATTTGTTAGTATTTATTTCTTAATTAATATTTCCTATGGATGTTCTAATATTACATACATAGGTAGTTCTCGGCTTACGATTAGTTTGGCTACTGTTCAAAGTTGCAATGACACTGAAAAAAGTGACTTACAACTGGTCCTCACACTTATGACCTTCATAGCATCCTCACGGTCATGTGATCAAAATTTGGGTGCTTACAACCGGCATGGTTGCAGCATCCCAGGGGTCACGTGATCGCATTTGTGACCTTCCAAGCCAGCTTCTGACAAGCAAAGTCAGTGGGGAAAGCTAGTTTTGTTTAGTGACTGGGTGATTCACTTAACAACCTCAGTGATTTCACTCAACAGCTGCCTTAGCAATAGAAATTCTGATCCCAATTGTGGTTATAAGTCGAGGATTACCTAAATCAGTATAATTGGAATGAATGAATGAATGAATGAATTAGTAAGTGAAGGAAGGAAGGAGTGAGTGAATGAATGAATGAGTGAATGAATGAATGTATTAGTGAGTGAGTGAAAGAAGGAAGGAAGGAGTGCATGAATGAATGAATGAATTAGTGAAGGAAGGAAAGAAGGAGTAAATGAATGAATGAATGAATTAGTGAGTGAAGAAAGGGTGAATGAATGAGTGAATGAATGAATGAATGTATTAGTGAATGAATGAGAGTGAATGAATGAGTGAGTGAATGAATGAATGAATGAATGAATGAATGAATGAATGTATTAGTGAGTGAGTGAAGGAAGGAAGAATGAATGAGTGAGTGAGTGAATGAATGAATGTATTAGTGAAGGAAGGAAGGAAGGAAGGAAGGAAGGAAGGAGTGAATGAGTGAGTGAATGAGTGAGTGAATGAATGAATGAATGTATTAGTGAGTGAGTGAAGGAAGGAAGAATGAATGAGTGAGTGAGTGAATGAATGAATGTATTAGTGAGTAAGTGAAGGAAGGAATGAACGAATGAATGAATTCACCAAATGTGTCACTTAGACCTCCATGTGATCTGAGAACATTTGACAAGGTTTTAATAAGAAATGTTCTTTCAATTAACTGGTCTCAAACTATAGATTCTAACCACGAATATGCATCGTGCCAAATGACTATCGGGATAAGTCAACTGTTGGACTAATGTCTAACTTTTCTTGTTCCAGGCAGCCACCAACTTGCCATCATCCGAGTCGAGAGAAACACAGTTGCCATTTTGGCCCTTGCCCTCCTTGCCACCAGACCTGCAAGAAAGTTTTAGAAAAATGCGGTCACTTATGCCCTGCTTCCTGCCACGATGAAGCCCTTGTAAAGCAAACTGGCCTGGTGAGACAGAAGCGTGTAACGTAAACATGTCTTCTACTCTTCTTAGGAAAGAGAGTTTAAACCAGGGGTCTTCAAACTTGGCCCTTTTATGACTTGTGGACTTCAACTCCCAGAATTCCTCAGCCAGGCACGTGTGTTCTGGGAGTTGAAGTCCACAAGTCATAAAAGGGCCAAGTTTGAAGACCCCTGGTTCAAAAGCTAAAAAAATGCTTACGGATAGACGTTATGGGGTTTGCTGACTTTAGAAATTAAAAAGGGCTGTTGCTCTCTTTTTACCCACATTGTCTAATTTCTGCTAGGTAAGCAAGATAAGTTTCCACTTGGCGGGTGATGTTTTGGTGCTGACTAGATTGTAGGGTGTAATGAATCTTTGATGGAGGTTTTATTTATCCACGCATCAGATAATGACTCATTTTGAACTAGTTTGAAATGGAAGGATTAGAGGACAAACGAAAGTACACGATATCCTCAAGGGAGTAAAAGAACTGAAATGGAAATGGAAATGGGCTGGTCACATAGCAAGAAGAACCGAGGGCAGGCGGACCCAAGGCACTCGTAGAATGGATCCCACTGGATCCCACTAGGTCCATGAAAGAGACCTAAAACAAGATGGATCGATGTCATCAGCAAGTTATTGCGGGCCCAATTGGCAAAAGAAAGTGTTGGTTGGAGATGCCTTCATCCTGCAGTGGATAGACAATGGCTAAAATGATGATGATGAGTTTGAAATGGATAACTGTGGGAGGGGAATTGAAAACCTCCCTTAAGTTATTGAAGGAGCATGGATGTGTCCAGATGGAATTGGCATCACAACTTGTAGAATAATGCGCTTGTGATTAATCGTCACAGCCTGCTTTGAACTTACCGTATTTTTCCGTCTATAAGACGCAGATGCCAACGCTGCTAACATCGGACGTTCTTGCTTTGACAACATATGGAGATGCAGCCATTTTCCTTCTTATATTTTACTCTTAGAATTAGAGTTAGAATTAGATGATACTGGGGGAGAGGAGGAGGAGGAGGAATGTGGATGAGAGTTTAGTTAGACATAACAATATTGTAACTAATGTGAGAACCAAATAAGAGATGATAAGAAATGGCTGTTGAAGAACTGGAGGGAGAGCCTGCATTTCAAACTAATTGGAGAATGTGATTTATGACTGTTAATTAGAGGAGGGAATTGTGCTTTGATACTATGTGCTCGGGAGGGGAATTCAGATTTTGGCTTGGCCTATGTACCTACCGATGCTATGCTACTCGAATAAAGATTCTTTCAGGTAAACAATGCCTCGAAGTTCTTTGAAGAGTTTCATCTGTCGGAACCATGACATTAAGCCAAAATCTGAATTTTGACAGCACCCTTGTATGGCATGTTGAGTTTCTCTGCGCCGATCAGCTGTTCGGCGACGCGCCGAACAGCTGAGTTGGTAAATCCAGAAGTTTGGCCGGCCGACGATCTTACCCCCCTCCCATTAGTGGCAAGCCCACAGGCATGCCCTGCACCAGGTGGCATGGCAACCCACACAGGCATGCCCTGGGCTGCGGAGGTTACCATTATTTTTTCTGTGTATTTTTCTGTGTATAAGACGCTGCACCTGATTTTTGAACAGGGTGCTTGCAGGAAAAAAATAGCGTCTTATACACGGAAAAATACAGTAACTGTTGTGTATTATTTTCTGTAAAGCTAAGCTTTGTTGGACTTATCCGTGGATTTCTTTTTCTTAAAGCATCAGCCCGCAGGACCGTGGGAAAAGTCCACCGCACCTGCTTTTATTCAGACAGCATTGCCTTGTCCTCCATGCAACGTCCCTATTCCAACGTGAGTTATTCTAACTATTGTAACTTTCAGTACATAGAAATGCACACTACAGGTAGCCCCCGACTTAACAACAGTTCGTTTAGGGACCGTTCAAAGTTAACAAGAGCGCTGGAAAAAGCCACTTAACGGCTGTTTTTCACACGACCGTTGCAGCATCCCCGTGGTCACGTGATCAAAATTCAGAGGCTTGGCAACTGACTCGTATTTATGACGGTTGCAGCGTCCCAGCGTCACGCGATCACCTTTTGCGACCTTCTGACAAGCAAAGCCGATGGGGACGCCAGGTTCATTTAGCAACCGTATTACTAATTTAACAGCTGCAGCAATTCACTCAACAGCTGTGGCGAGAAAGGTTGTGAAACGGAGCAAAACTCACTTAACAAATGTCTCACTTAGCCGCAGAAATTTTGGGGTCGTTAAGTTGAGGACTACCTGCATTGCAACTTATTTGTGTTTTAATTAAATGGGGCACTATTTACGAAGGCCAAACTGGATTGGATAAAGCATATAAATTCCAGTTTTCTCTTACCAACAGCACTTCCCTTTTTTTCTGGTTTTAGTTTTTTTGGCTTACTCAACCTCTGTAACTGCTCTTCCACCTCTGCGGGAATTTATAAGGAGCTACCAGCCTAAAACTAATCAGAGAGTAAATTGTCCCTGCCGGTGGGAGTTACAGGGAGCTCCTGTGCTTTCAGATCCCCTGCTCCAATCAAACAGAATATTCAGATAAATAGGTGGGCCCAGAGACCAGTCAGTTTGACCAGCAACTACCTGGTGTGCAAAAACAGGATCTTTAAATTGACAAGGGCGCTTTAGACTTCCTTGGTTAAACTGCAGCCTGAAAAAAAAGGAAGGCCAACAAGGAAGGCTAGGAGACCGTGAGTTCTAGTCTCTCCTTAGGCATGAAAGGGATGGCCCGTTGGCTCAGCGATTAAGACGCTGGGCTGGAAAGCCGGCAGCCCAGGTTCGAGACCCAAGCTCCACGCAGCGGGGTGAGCTCCCGTCCTCACCTCAGCTCCTGCCAATCTAGCAGGTCGAAAGCATGCAAATGCGAGTAGATAAATAGGTACCCACTTCAGTGGGAAGGTAATAGCGCGCCATGACATCACCATGCCATGACACATGACTGCAGCAAGGTCTTAGAAACAGCACTGCCTCCATGCCCCTTGAAACGGAGATGAGCACCGCCTCCTACAGTCGGCAGTGACCTTTTAAAAAAAAAACAAAACAAAACTTAAGCATGAAAGCTGATTGGATGACTTTGAGCCAGTTACTCACTCTCAGCACAGGGTTGCTGTTTGTGAGAAAAATAGGACAAAGGAATTTTAGATATGTTCTCCACCTTCAGAACAAAAATAAATAAAATAAATACTCTATTTTATCCGGTAGTGGCAACTTGTACCCTCCTGCCATATCTTTTCCTTGACAGATGCTACAACTGTCAAGAACGTATTTCCTTTTTCTCATCTCCCTGATTCTTCCTATAAGAACGAGCCCCATTAATAAAACAGGATGACTGAAGCAGGTTGTCCATTCTGAGAACCCAACTCTCCTCTTTGCTCATATACAAAGACAAACAAGTTGGCCTGTCTGAAGGATCACTACAAAGAGTTCCCGAAGAAACAATTCAGATGAACAAAATGGAATCACATTTAAATAAGTTGAGCTTGTTTATTTTCTCTTTGCAGGCAATGCTTTGGAAAACACGAGGTGAGTTATTATAGCTGTCACTATTTGAAATAAAAAATGAGCCAGGCATAACTTGGTTTTAATTAGAACCTCAGAACTAAGCTTTAGCATATAATTGATTTGACACGGTTGCATTTATTTGCAACTGAAATGTTTTGCTTTTTTGTTTGAAACCCGCAGATAATTTTTCATTAGCAGAATCGTGTAAAATTGTTCTAAAGCATTTGCAAGCATGAGGTCCTCATTTGATCAAACTTTTGACGTATTTCAAATAATGGGGCATGTTGGTGAAATAACCTTTTCTGAATGTTTAATTAGTTAGCTTCTTTTTATGGGGCTTTATTATTTTTTATTTTTGCATTGGAAACCATTAAATGGCTTGTCAGCTGATAACGGCTGGCATGATATATTTTGTGGCTGTTTCAAGAGAATCTGCAAATGGTATTTTGAAAATGGAATTCAAATGTGGTTTAGTCAAGTAGCAATTGAGAGTTCTCCAGTTGCATGAAAGAAATAATATGTCCTGAAGTTATCTGGGTGGAAGATGGGGAAGATTTTTTAGCATCAGCTAGTATGATTGGAAACCAACATGCACACTGTGTGGAGTTACAGTTTTCTAAAACAGAAAAATCTCAACTGAGTATATGAATTTTGCGGAAAAAAGTGAGGTTCTTAGAATGTGTTTAAGTAACAAGGATATTCCATCATTAAAATGGCTTGAGATTTGTAAAGAGTGAATTGATCCCTTACAATTTCATCTGAGCAACTGAAGGCAACTTTGACAGATAATGTTTGGAGGAAAGTTCAGTCTTACTACAAATACCCGAAAAAATACAGGGGGAGGGGGTTTGAGAGAACGTAGGAGAACTAGAATTTATAAATACGATTTATGTCCCAGTTGACATAATAAACAATAAATAAACTGCTGCCAAATATATTGCATCCTTCTAAGTTGGGCATGCCATTTGTTCATCCGTCCTTTAGGACAGGGGTAGGCAACCTTGGCTCTTTTATGACTTGTGGACTTCAACTCCCAGAATTCCTGAATCAGCCATGCTGAGGGGAAAGGGAGAGGTTTCCAACCTGACCCATGCTGGCTCAGGAATTCTGGGAGTTGAAGTCTACGAGTCATAAAAGAGCCAAGGTTGCCTACCCCTGCTCTAGGGCAGGGCTTTTCAACCTTTTCACCCATTGTACCACTTTTAGGATACGGCAACATCCGAGTACCACCAGTCGCCTAGCAAGGTGTCAAAAACTTGATGACCCCCCCCCAAAAAGGAAAAAAGTGATGAAGTACAGGTAGTCCTCGACTTACAAAGTTCGCTTAGTGACTGTTCGAAGTTACAATGGCACTGAAAAAAGTGCCCTCCAAGCCACAGCCGAGCAAGACACCTGCCTGCCCGCCCGGCGGCACTCTTCCTTCTGTCTGAGGTTTTCATTGTTGTGAGCATTTCTGTTGAGGATTGGCAGCGGGGGTGGGGTGGGGGGTGTTTGGTTTTTATTCCCCCTGTCTGCTGGGTGGTTGCAGCAGGTTTTGGTCACTTCACATGACCCTGGAACACTGTGACCGTCATAAATATGAATCAGTTGCCAGGCACCTGAATGTAAATCACAAGACCCTGGAGATGCTGCAACATTCCAGCTGATCGGCGCTTCTTCTGGGCTCAGCAGAAGCGCCAGGATCAGCACTGAACTCCAGCTGGATCCTGGCACTGATCCTGGCGCTTCCGCTGAGCCCTGACAGCCCCGAAGAAGCGCCGATCCTGGCGCTTCCGCTGAGCCCTGCAGCTCCAGCCATCTCTCGCTCAGGCTTGTGCGGTGATAATTCCCCTCCCCTGCTATCACTTTTCTAGGATGGTCGCGTACCACCTGCCAGCTGCCAATGTACCACAGGTGGTACCCGTACCACTGGTTGAAAAGCCCTGCTCTAGGGCATTAGTTCCCTTTCTGTTAGACTTCTTAAAGAGGTTTAAAAATTGTTTCTGAACCTAGTTGAGTTTCCACAGGCATTTTCATCCTCTTCCTTTCTTTCTTTTTGATAATCCAATTTTGGCCACAATTCATCTACTTTACAAGTACTCCCCATTTAGCTATGAGAATTAGGACTGGCAAGCGGTCACTAAGCGAAACTGTGACCGTGTTTATGAACTTATTTCAGTTTTGCTTTGCTTTACTGACTTGCAAAGATCATAAACGTGAGAAATAGTTGTCGATTTTTCATCACTGCCACAACTATGAACAGTTGGTGAATGAAACATCACCAAAGGACAATTACGCGTGCTCTCAAAGTTTGCTATTAGGAGGAGTGACTGATGTGATTATGAACAGTTTGAGAATATAAGAATGATGAGAATTTAGGTGTCATGCACAAATATGTAAGGCAGGGGTCTTCAAACTTGGCCCTTTTATGACTTGTGGACTTCAACTCCCAGAATTCCTCAGCCAGGCAGGCTGGCTGAGGAATTCTGGGAGTTGAAGTCCAGTCATAAAAGGGCTAAGTTTGAAGATGTCTGATGTAAGGATTCATGCTATGATGGATTTTAGATGTGCCATGGAAATTCACTGTGGTTACTATTTAATGTAATTTAGAAAATAGTGTTCCAGACCTGTATGCCAGGGGTCCCCAACCCCCGGTCTGTGGACCAGTACCAGGCCGCGGCATGCCAGCAACTGGTCCGCCCAAACAAGCAAAGCCCCATCCGCAAGATGCAGGCAGCACACAAAACCATGCACTCTCCAGTCTGTGGAAAAACCTCTCTCCACGGAACCAGTCCCTGGTGCCCAAAAGGATGGGGACCTTTGCTTTATGCAATAAGTCTCAAAATGCAGTATGGTCTTGGCACTGCTTCTTTTCTCCTTCATACCTTTTAAAATGCTTTTCATCGTACTAACTCAAGCTTAGGCTTGAAGTATTATCCTGTTGTTCTTTACTCATTCTGCCCAGTGTTGTTTTGGATTTGGGCAGCTTAGAAGTTTGACCAATAAATATGTAATCTATGAAATATTCCATATTTTGAAATGAATACTTAGAACTGCCAGTCGTTGGATGTTCAGAGCAGAAAATCTTACATGGTTTGTTTGTGCTAGTATTTCTTTTGCTTTCTTTATGTAGTAGTAGTAGTAGTAGTAGTAGTAGTAGTAGTAGTAATAATAATAATAATAATAATAATAATAATAATAATAAAAGTTGGAAGGGATCTTGGAGGTCATCTAGTCCAACCCCCTGCTCAGGGAGGAAACACTATACCATTTCAGACAAATGGCTGTCCAGTCTCTTCTTAAAAACTTCTAATGTTGGAGCATTCACCACTTCTGGAGGCAGGTTGTTCCACTGGTTAATTGTTCTAACTGTCAGGAAGTTTCTCCTTAGTTCTAGGTTGCTTCTCCACTTTTCTATCTAAAAGCACATTGTGACCAGAAGAGTGGCTTTAATACTAAACAGTAGTAATAATTTTATTTATTTCATGTATTAAGTAAAGAGGTTGCCAGACACACAGTATAACTTACAATACATGATTATAACAGTGGATTCTGGAGAATCAACATCTCTGATCTTGTTTCTTTTCTCTCTTTAACAACTTTTAAGTGTAGATTTTTGGGAATCCAGGTACAAGGGTAACACCACTCCACAAGCTAAGCAAAAAGACTAAATTTCAGTTCCCAATTCAATATATTAAAAATTCAGTGGCTTTTACATGACACAACTTTAAGGAAACATTAAAGTTAACATGCTTCAGTTTTTGAATTTTGATAGTAAAATAACGATCAGTGGCCTTCAGGGATTATTTTGATGAACAAGATTCAGTAAGGCTGTAGTCAGCCAGTCATCTAAGTATAATTTCTTATTGCAAAACAACAGGGGATTAAAAAAAAAACGATAGGGAGGTCTTAATACAAAATGTTACTCTTTCGGTGATTACACAAGATGTCTCGTTCTGATATAATGTATATTTTAGAAAACCTATGTAGACTGGCAGGAATGTAAACTGTTAAGGCTAATTTAATTATAATAATATCAATAAAAACGGACCCTGGTTGGTAAGAAATAACAACCGCATGCATTCAGACCACTAAGGTTTGGAAAAAATACCATTAATAATAGACTAGAACATCTGGCATAGATTGTTAATTTAGAACAAGTATGAATTATGTTTCAGGAGTGTGGATTGAAACTCTTATTGCTCAGCTTTCCAGCAGGCTGAGATTTGCAGATGATGTGATGTCTGCAAAGATCAGGAGCTTTTTGGCTCACTTTTTTTCAGAGGCATATGAGCAGAGGTGGACACCAAGAGTTGGGAGCGGGATGTGTCGCAGAAGAAAACTATTGCACCAAGCCTTTCTCTATATAGGTAGTCCTCATCTTACGACCACAATGGAGCCCCAAATTTTGTGGCTAAGTGAGAAATTTGTTAAATGGGTTTTGCCTCATTTTAAGACTGTTCTCACCAAATTTGTGAAGTGAAATCACTGCAGTTGTTAAATTGGTAGCATGGTTATTAAGTGAATCTGGCTTCGCCATTGTTTGTCAGAACGTCGCAACAGGGAATCACATGACCCCAGAATCCTGTAACTGTCATAAATGTGAGTCAGTTGTCCAGCTTCTGAATCTAAACCAGGTAACCATGGGGATGCTGCGACAGTCATGGGTTTAAAAAATGGTCATAAGTCACTTTTTCAGTGCCATTGTAACTTTGAACAGTCACTAAATGAACTGTTGTACCTTGAGGACTACCTGTAGTAAAAATTATGCACAAGTGCAGCAGACTAGAGCACGTTCTACAGAAATGTCCATTCAGAATGTCAGAAGATGAAACGGGGTCAATAATTTTGAACTCAATCTTTCAACCTGTATTTTGGGGCATTTCAGAAATTATGAAAGGATGAGACATTCCTACCATTTTTGTTCAATCTGCTTTTAAAATTTTATTGTATTACATTTTCATGGCCAATGGAGAACATTGTTTTATTATTGTTGTAGCTGGTCCATTTATAAAACAATAATGCCAATTAACATTTAACTA